ATAGATTGAATGTAAGTACAGTCAGTGACAGTAAAATTACAGTGGTAGTAAAAAATACTATAGAAATGGCAACAGCCATTAAGTGATAATGGTATTCACCTAGCAGCAATTCTGGTCCACTTAAAACAGGCCAAGCCTCAATATCCAGATATATGCCAGTCGGACAGTGACAAGCAAACACTGAAACTGATACCAACTTTTTAGAGAGTGACTTAGCTTCATTTGAGCAGAATAAACCTTGCCTTCACACATTGTTTCTGTTTGCCTTTCGCGAAAGTCAAACGGTCCTTCATCAAAGGGGAGTTACTCTAACCCTATTGTAGGAAAAGTCAAATTTGATTTTTATCCGTTAGTTTTATCCTCCCGCAAAAATACCAAATTGATGATGAATGATGGGATCGATAAACATGATATTTGATTGACATATATATGCACATAGAATACAGTAAAGTGTACAATATTGATCTGCGTTATTTAAACCAGGCATTACGGTAATCCACAGTGATGGCAGCGTTAACGAACCCAAAATTTGATTTGGTAACCTCTGCGGCTCATCAAATTGAAAATGTGTTTTTGTGTATTGTGTTTCTTTAGTGATTGCCAGTAACACAGGCTCTCATCATGGTGTATTGTAAGCAACTTCCTATTTCCGCCAACCACAGAGAAGGTAATGGTTATACCTTGTTCCTTGACAAAGGGAAAAGAATGAATTTAAACTTCGTGAACGTTCGTTATATCTTATCCTATAAGCTCGGCATGAGACATCAAACGTATTCAAATGGAGGAGACTAAAATCTTTCCGGAATCATAAACTTTCTACAAAGCAGAATCAGTAAAGGTTTCAACTATTTCATTATCACGTATTCCCAGTTTGCCTTCAGATAATGATATTACCAGATGTTCCTGCAAAGACATATATAATGCTGGTTATAGTTTGGGGGTGAATCTAAATGCATGGTCCTTTACGCAGCTGTTCGACTTTCTACCTATATCACTTAAAGCATTTGATTGAGATCTTGAGACAGATACTGTATCAATTGTCTTTCCCCTTCTCTGTGATCCTTCTCTTGGTCCAAATGACCAACAGTTTGCTTTGGCACGCAAGAAACAAGATCACTATCTCAAAATATCACTAAATGTTATGCTTACGTGAACAAATACAATTGGTACTCTTCAACTCATATACTTTGATGTGATTTATTAGTTATGAAGGGAATGAGAAATATAAACCGATAAAAAAGTACAAAATATAACCTAAAGACATGCGATTATCGATTGCCTAAAAAGGGATATTTGGTATATTTAGAGATATCTGGAGGCTTATATCCGTTAATAATGTTTTAGACAAAGTAAAGTACGGACGCTCCTGAATCCTCGCTTCATCTACTGGCAAATGCCGCCACGGTACAGATAATGGGATCGTTTCACATCCAATGTTTAAAAAGAACACTGAATACGTATACTTCGTCCATGGTTTATTGTATATGTTTATGCAGTGACGCTAATCTCTCGGAAATATGGGACGCATTTACATATCTGGGGAAGGTCCAAATGCAGATCGTGCTAATTTAAATTTAGCAAACATTATATCATTAAGACGTAACGGAATAAATCATTTTGTAGCATCGACACATATCAAATGAAAAAAGTTGCCGAACTGACATTGACACATTCAGTGAAAACGAAATTTTATATGGTGTAAATCAGATCATTATCTGTGTCATGATGACCTGATTGATAGCTCCATTTATGGAAATGGATCCTCCACCTGCGCACAATAAACTCAACTTTTACGTTCTTCTTCAGTATGGCATTTCAGTGACCCTCCAATAGTTACCGAAGATTACAAACAAAAACATCATATTATTCCAACACGTACATGAATATTAACAATTGGATGTTTAGAGACATATGTACGGAAATTTATGACATGAAGAGAATCATTCTGTATAACAGTTCACAAGGTAAGGTTTCAGGTCATATACATACAAAGAAAAGCGTAACAGTATGGTTTCTCATAGTGTTGAATCTATAGAGTTATAAAAGTAATATATAATATATTCATATCATGCATTTGTACTATTTTATGCTATGGAATGTATGTAAATATGTATTATGCGCAGGGATATTTTGTAACCCTACATTTTCTGTATTTTGGGTCGAAGGCCTTGTACTGAATAAATCTGTCTGTCTGTCTAAAAGTCGATTTCTGCTCCAAAGAGAAATGACAACATATCTTGTTCACTTTGAATTTCAAATATTACCTAAGTTTCAACATCAAGTTTATCAATTAAGTATGCAAAGAAGTCATTTCGCTGTTGTATTAAGTTTTCGCAGTGGAGAAGCATATGGAAATCATAGTCAAATGTTTGTTTATTGCAGAGAGCACACTCTTTTGCGATTTTGCCTCTTGATAATATTTGGACACAAAAGTGCAAGGAAGATTTTAATTAGGGTGTTTATATGCCAGTTACCAGAGAGTATGATAAGAGAGTGTAGTATGGGTTATTGCGTAAAATGACATGTTTAAACGATAGAGAGTTTGTGATCGCCATAATGGTTCTTTATAACTATGCATAGTAGCATTTACAATTCGTCTCCATACACGTTTTGGAGGAAATATGCCTTGAGCAATATAATTGTCAACTTATGTTGATATTTTCAGATATTGATAAAAGCTCATCACAGATTGTCAGATTTTACTGAAGTTGTAATAGAAGCACAAAAGATATGTTTTGCAAAGTTGTTACACTCAGTGTTACATAGTCGCCCAAGAAATAGCAGTTTACATTTATCGATGTACCCAATTAGTGACCATAATCCCAAATTTGCAATGGTAGATATTGATGATGACCTCTTACCAAGACCTTGCACAAGACGAGCAAAGTACCTTCAAAGGTGTCCGCCTGTTGGACTTTGATGTTTGGTAATACTTCACAGCCATAGAGACTAGTTTTAAGAATCATTCTGAGCCATAACACAAGTGATTGGATGTAGGCCAGAATCATTCAGTCCAATAGATCTAAGTGAGTTTACATACTGTTTTGCTTTCTGACAATACTTTTCACTTCTAGTTTTTGTTGAGAGGTTACTTGTAAAGAGTACACCCCATATACGGTAGATTCTGATAAGGGGATTGGGATGTTACCAATGCTACAGTGGACGTTTACATCACAGCCTTTTCTTTTGCTGAATACGATGATGGTACTTGTTGATGGAATATATGTTAGACGCCATTTAGAAGCGTATGAAGAGACAATATCAAGTGATACCTGTAGGCCATTAGGGGATGTACTTATGAGTGTAGTATCGTCAGCCAGCAAGACAGTTGGAACGTCCATACCACGAGTCTGGACCAGACACGGATACCACAGCATGAGCTTCTCTTAAAGATGTAATTAGGTCATTAATAACCAATGCGAAAAACCAAGAGGATTTAACCCTCCCGTTTGTCCCTCTTGGCGCAACAGTCGCCTTGTATGGCAAGCACATGGTATGTATGTACCTATTGTATGTATGTATGTATGTATGTATGTATGTATGTATGTATGTATGTATGTATGTATGTATGTATGCATGCATGTATGTAGTATATGTGTATGTTGTTCATGCATGTATGTATGTATGCATGTTTGTATGTATGTATATATGTATGTATGTATGTATGTATGTATGTATGTATGTATGTATGTATGTATGTATGTATGTATGTATGTATGTATGTATGTATCAGGCAAAACACGGAAACTAAATCAAACTTCAACCAGAATATATTAACTAATTCCTAAATAGTTTGTCCCTGGCAAATTGATGCCATGAAGGATTACGATCATTATCCCAATGTTTGGTCACAACGACATCGCAGACAGTTTCAGGGTGTAATATTTCTTCCGATTGGCCGTTTGAAACTCCTGGGATTCGTTTTCCCATTCAGTGGTCTTCTTGGAAGCCCGCACCAGTTCCCGCGACCATTTGTTCTGGTTGGCGATGTTTCTTCATCTATATACTGAACAACATTAGAAACGCACCACCAATATAATACGAAATATCCCCGTCAGACTGAAATGTACCCATGATATCTGAGCATCGTCGGTGCATTTTAGTGTGGTGCGTTTCTAATGTTGTTAAGTATACATATAGGAATTGCAATTATGTTGTTGTACATGAGAATATATATTTGTTGTAATTGTGTCTCCGTCAAAAATAAAGAAGAAAATTTTAAACGATTGTCTTCAGTGAGCTTAACATTATATGTTTGTTATCGTAAGATTGGACATTTCACCGCCAGTTTAGTGAGATATATATGTTTATCACGATATGACGGTCTGTATACCGGTAAAAACCTTTGATGACGTTGTTAGATACAACTAGGAGTAACGTTACGATATACCACGTAAGTATCTTTGAAACAATAGTTTCTCTGCATATTGTGTACTGACTGGATTGAATACAAAGTGTGTTTCACGAAGTGTGCTAGACTAGGTGAAAATTAACTTCCATATATTTATTTAACATGCAATTCGATCCATGCATATATATTTCAAATCTTTCACACAAAGAAATGAATACACCCTTTGTTTTGCACTTTAATGATCCCGTGTGCAAATGCGAGATTCACCTTTATTGGTTTTTGTTTTTGTTTTTTATTCGTCAGCGCCATACTCATTTTCGATTTGTTGAAAATATACACGCCTAAGACATCAAACCGCAGCTAAAATAAACTGTTAAAACACCAACTCATTCTCCTTGTATATATCAGGTAACCAAATTTCAAGTAATGCTGTGACATTCTACAGTTTCACCTGAATTCAGTGCGCCCGTGTTCCTCTTGGGATGCTGTATCAGCCAATAAGGTACGCTCTTTATCAACATTTGGTTTTTAGTGCTGACAACAATAGGCGTAAAAGATGGGAACAGTACTTCTAATTAAAAACGTACGCAACGGTATGGTAAAAGTGGTGCATTCATAAGTATTCGTCAGTCGGCATGTCATTTTACAGTAGCTGCAATAATTGTCATTAATTCGGTTTTCGTTAGATGGTTGTCAAATTTTGCAGGTTGTTAGGAAATCATCTTGGTCACAAATACATAATTTCCCCATAAATGTCATAACCATGACACGCATCAATCAATGTGTGGTCGTTCTTGAAATACTGAATGGAAAATAAAACGGATATTATGTCTTTGCAGCTGAGATGATTCATGACACATGTGCAAAATATGAACAAGATCAAACAAAAATATATTCTAGACAATTTTTCTAGATGCACCAAATTAACATGTAAGTCTGTGGAAAGTATGCACAGTGACGAATACTTATGTCCTACGACTGTAGTTGCAGATTTTCAGTATATACGATTCCGTGTTCTAATTCGAGATTCTCATTCACTGTTTGGTTACCTCTGCAACTCATCAAATTGAAAATGTTTTTGTGTATTGTGTTTCTTTAGTGATTGCCAGTAACACAGGCTCTCATCATGGTGTATTGTAAGCAACTTCCTAATTCCGCCAACCACAGAGAAGGTAATGGTTACACCTTGTTCCTTGACAAAGGGAAAAGAATGAATTTAAACTTCGTGAACGTTCGTTATATCTTATCCTATAAGCTCGGCATGAGACATCAAACGTATTCAAATGGAGGAGACTAAAATCTTTTCGGAAACCTTATCTTTCTACAAAGCAGAATCAGTAAAGGTTTTGACTGTAGTTGCAGATTTTTAGTATATACCATTCCGTGTTCTAATTCGAGATTCTCATTCACTGTAATATATTCCATATGAATTCATGTGGATGTCATCATAGTCGTACACCAACACAGTCGTAAAAACTCCTTCACCGTATTTATATATGAGGCCATCACATTTCAAGTTATGCTGTTATTCTTCAGTTTCTTTCCCAGAACATGTGACTTCGATGTATCCGTGTTCCTCATGGGATGCTGTGTCAGCCAATACAAAACACTCTTTATCACCATTTGGTTTCCGGTGCTGACAGCAATGGGCGTATTCCATTTTTTACCATCTCCATCTTGACTGAATAACGAAGCTACCAGTATTTACTTTAATGTTCCCTCAGAACTTTTCTAAATTGCTGTTTTATTTTTTAAGGAAATGAGGCTACGTGGTGATGTTTCTAATACATTCCCATCTACGAGCTGCATGACGTCAGGTTGGCTTCTTTACAGTTCTTCTGGTCACCTCGTCGTACACAAACTGATGTGAATTCGACGTTTCCATGCCAGGTTGTCTTTCGCTCTTAAAATATTTTCAGAATCTCAATTTCAGCAAATCAACTTTAGAAAACCGCAATTGTAGTAGGGATATTAAATTTTTTATATGTACCAACCAATCTTTTCTCTCGTTTGACAGTACATGTATTCTGTAAAATCGTGAAATAGGTACTGATTAACGACAGTCATTTTCCGGATACACATACACATTTAGTTCCAAATGCCATCTACAATGTCGGCAAGACATGAACGAATTCATTGCAAGTATTTATTTGATGTTAATCTCAATCATTATCACCACTGCATTGTATATTTCCAGCCAACACGTGCCACTCCGTCACGTCCAGTAATATTACTGTTAAATATTTTATGACATTTGGTTAACCTTATTTGGTTATCCCCTCGTCCGTGTCTGTCATAGCACCAGTATGTCGAAGGCAGTGACACTCTTTATCTGTCCCTTGTTGATTCGTCGTCTGTCGGGGAAATTGGGGTAGCCTAGTGGTTAAAGCGTTCGCTCGTAATGCCAAAGCCTGGGGTTCGATTCCCTACATAGGTACATCGTGTGAAGGTCATTTCTGGTGTTCCCGGCCGGGATGTTGCTGGAATATTGCTAAAGGCGGCGTAAAACTAAACTCACTCTTCATCTATCCATTGTTATCTTTAACGATAAATACGTGTACACGTATACTGGCAGGCAGTCAGTGAACCCATAGAAGTTCAGTTATATCAGCTAAATGCAAAAGGAAGAGTCATATTATGCTATGCTATGCTATGCTATGCTAAAGTGCATACTTACTTTTTGCTTATTTACCGGTCTTCCATAACAGTCAAATACCAAATTGCAAAAGATCTCAGAAAACCGATCTCGTTCTCCCTCTTCACTATGGAGCTGCAGCTGTGTTGTGTTTAAGAAGTGGTGATAGGATTTTGACATGGAATGGAAGTCCAAAGCAAGGGTGAAGACATCGATCTCTTAACTGAATAGTTGACAGAGCGTGTGCATACAGCTAAAGGAGAGGCATGGGAATCGGTTATGTGTTATTATATGTTACTCTAAGAGACACTTCAAATTTAAAGGACCTCTTTAAGTTGAAAACTGTCACTCGCTGGTCTTATATTCAGTCAGGGAAATTGCTATATGTGTCTGTTCGGAGTAGTAACAGCAAGCTGATTCAGCATCAGCATAAAAACAACGTCTATCGAAACAGGTCTAGTTACCCATGTGCAGTGGCGGTGACAGTGACTTGAAATAGTGGAGAAGAGAAGGTACAGACTAAGGAGCAGGCAACATGCGTCATTGATCTTTGGTCATCATTGCATTGGAGTGTCTCTTGGTCCATCTTACGACTTCACGTGTGGAAAGTAAAATAAAACTTGACTTGAATATAGTACGCAGAACATGAAAAACCTACAGCTTGTTTTAAACACCATAGCCTCTTTGACCTTCCTGGTCTCTGAAACACTGGCGTCATCCCTGCACACTCAGAGAAACCATAACACTAGCACTGTCGAGGATATCATAGTATTCTATCAAGTAACGCCATGTTCCATCTGAAACAGAATTCAATGATTCATTTTGTTTCGTCTGTGTGCTTTTATTATATTTAATTATCTTCAATGATGAAACATTTTAATACTCGAGAGTGTCCATGATCGAATCCAATGTTTTGTTTCCGAAGGTCAGGGTTTAAAATTACATATATCCTACACGTTTACACTGTGTGCCTGATCACGGCCGTGTGATCCTTGCACTGTGGTTAATCACATTTTAAATAAGAATCATACTACGTCTGTCTGGTGGTTAGTTTTGAAGTTGAAGTATTCTGTCGTGTGGAGGGTATGCCTTTGATGCAAGTGGGTGCCATTCATATTTTTTTTCCAAAATAATAGCACGTTAATATATGTATATCATTTTTTGGTTTTGGTTCACGTAATTGTAATGTCAAGGAGATGTCGCCTTTCATCCCAAACCACAATATCCAACAATTAGGAAATGTTCAGCGTTTTCTTGGCGTCGTTTGGAGTGAGTGAGTGAGTTTAGGTTTTCGCCGCAATATTCCAGCTGTATGACGGAGGTCTGTAAATAATTGAGTCAGGACCAGACAATCCAGTGAACAACAGCATGAGCATCGAACTATGAAATTGGGATACAATGACATGTGTCAACCAAGTCAGAGACCACCCGATCCCGTTAGTCGCCTCTTACGACAAGCATGGCTTACTGAAGATCATTTGTGACCCTGATATTCACGGGTGGCGTCGTTTGGAGTTTTCTTTGATGCCATAGCATTTACATATAGGTGGAATTGAGTTTGAACAAGGTAATGTCAGGCAAAAAAATCAAGTCTGTGTGACCAGATTATGACAGTTATATAATTCACTGTATCCAGTATTTATTCGTCTCATTTAAAGTCTCATCAAGTCTAAACTCATGGCACTAAATGCATGTCCCTCACTAAACTGATTAGATAACTTGATGTTGAATTACAATTTTCTGCTGTGCCCACTTCTGCGTTTCTCATTATGTGTGACCGTAACTAATGCAATAACGAAAGGAAGTAACTGTATATAACATCCTGAAACACCCCAGTCATTTGAAGTCAGATTCAAATACCCATTTCAGATAAATGCTAGTTTGCTTTGTAAGAACACATTGCTTTAGTTAATTTTCAAGTTAGGTTTTCTGAAGAACTAATACATGCCTTTCCATATCGTCGATGCTGCAGCACACCCACCAGCTTTCAGTATTATTTGCATAACATGGAATAGTACTTCCCTCTGATCTCTGGACTGACCAACCACGAGATGGATCTGAATACCTCCTACCTCTTTATCAGCTGAATACCACCACAAAATCCTTCATGGCGTCTGTTGTATGAGTCAATGTGTATGTTATAAATTTGAGAGAAATAAGACAATGTATGTCTGTCTAGTGTAGATGTGTTTGTTTAACGCCTCAGTCAGCAATAATACAGCTGCGTCACAAAAGTGAGATAGATAACTAGGCAATGGCACGCGTCGTTCGTGGTGCAATGAACCAGTTGAAAGAACCTGACACCTGATCCATCACGTCGCCCCTTACCATAACTATATATTGTAAATCACAGAAAATCTGGTCTTGCGCATGCTGTTGATGAAGTCGTTCTCGTGGCGTGTTTGTTGTTCGGGAAAGAGGTCGAGGAAAGTTTTAATTGTGGTATTTAATTCCAGTCCTGACTAGCCTAGTAGTTTGGTTCTAGTTTGATTGTTTTAATGCCAACATGCTATTCGACTCATCGGGATTTGACTGTATTACTGAATATTATGCATGCATGGACACGTGCTGTCTAAGCTGGTCAAACCAGCTTTCCTAGCGTTTATAATGATAAATCATTGATAATCAATTACAGTGACTTATCAAGGGTTTGAAATGTCAGAATTCTAAGGAAAAAGTTAACCTGTCCGAAGCCATTATGATAATAGCATGAAATGTTGGTTGCAAGTATTCATCGAATAAAAAGTGGGGTTCAAGTATTCATATCTCAGGAAATATCTGTAGGAGTGAGTGAGTTGATCAACGTTAAAACAAAATGAACGAGACGCTCAGTCGACATGCTGCTTGACTGGCAAATTCATCCCATGAAGAGTTAATGACATCTTTTCACGAAGGCGTTCTAAATATATTTTTTAAGTTCTGAATATGTTCTGGAATGCTTTAGGATAATAGTGTCCATGGAAGTGACCCTGGCCCCATAAATAAAAGGCGCATCTGTTTAACTGTCTAAGGATTGTCAAATCGTAAGGTGTGCCAATGAGAATAACTTGAGATTTCATGAGATGGCACCGCTGTAGTAAATTAAGTGACATGAAAAGTCTTTTAGTAGCA